TTGACATAAGTAATGGTGTGAGAACAAAAGTTTCTAAACCTAAATATTGAAGACATTGGTGCAAAAAAGGTTTTAAGCATGTTTTAACAAGAATTTGAGGGAAAATTTGTTTTGAACCCTAACTTCATCGATGTTAGTCTGGGAAATTTTTTTGACCCTTTTTTAGTGTCCTGAAAAAATGTTAACCAAACCCCCACCCACCCCGCCCCCTCACACTTTTTGGAAAAAAAAATTAGAGCAAGAGATGATTTTAAAAAAAATATTGACACAACAAAAAATTTTGAAAAAATCATACAGGTTGGAAATGTCCCACCCCCCTCATCACTTTCTAATGGCCCGACCCTAACATCATTTGCAACCAACATGGGGATGGTCATGATATGAAAACACCGCTCTTGATAGATGCAAAAACATCCTTACCTTGGGTTGTTTATGCATACTGTAGATGGTCTATTCCAGGAAATTGACTATTTATAATATAGTATAAATAAAATTTGAGAAACAAAGTAATACCTTCATAACTTTTAAAGCTTCTAAGTCAGAAGTGGTTTCATCCTTCCTGCACATACTGCTACAGTACCAGAAATGCTTAACAATATGCGATGACCAGTCTTTTATTTTACTCATGGGTTTTGTCTTGCCCAACTGAAACAAGAAAACAATCATGTTGAAATATTCAGCTTACATATTCATTTCAAATCTCTTTTAAAAATAAAATATATTAACACATGTATGCATTTAGCTGTAAGACTCCCCTTAACAATTAAAATCATCTGGTGTTATACAGAGTAAAAAATGATAGTCAGGTACATTTGGGTGTATTGCCGCTCAACTTTATCCTTTTAGTCTGTATAACACCAGGCAATTTTACTCGTCAAGGGAAGAGTCTTGCAGGTTGATGGGTTAAAATATAGAAACAACAACCATAACATTATTCAAAATTGAGAAAATTTAAAGTACAAGACATTGAAGACAAGTTATGAGTATTATAATGAAAATTTTGTGCAATTATATTGCCAGTACAACTCTCAAAAATTTATAATTGAAGAGTTCACAGCATGCTGTAGACAGCACAAATAAATAGAGCAAAACATTTCATACCTTTGCTAGACACTTTTTGATACTTTTGGACTTATGCCAGACATCTAGACTGTGCACAATGGTAGGGAAGTTGTTTTCTGAAAATTGAGATGAATAATATTAGGTTGCACTCCAACAGAATGATTACTATTAAGCATTAGCGCTATCCCCTTGACAAGTAAAGTCGTTTGGCATTAGGGAGAGTAAAAATAATAAAGGAGAGCGCAATGTGACTCATTGGGTTAAAGTTATATGTGTGTTGTACATACCAAGTAATGCTTTAACAGAAGTTGATGCATCTGTCACAAATTCCACCACTTTTATGTCTTGGGTCAGCCTCTCCAACCCACGCTTAACAGCTTCCCTTTCCATGTTGGTTGATGCTAAACCAACATGCCTCTTATCTAATATTTCAATATCGATGATGTAGTTGCTATTGGCTTCAACCATAAAATAGCATAGATTTTTTGCATTAAAACCTGGTGAGTCACACTGTCCATCACCACCAATGACATTATCTTGCCCAACAAATTCTTTCAGAAGTTCTTGCCTTGTCCATGCCCACCACTCATTTATTTCGGGAATCAGATATAAACGCTGATAGCGATAAAATGTTGACTTTGAAAGAAGTGCCAAACCATAAAACTTTGCCATTCGCTCAATTTTGGCAAAACTATTGCCTGACAGCAAGATAGAGGCAGCTGCTTGTAGGCTGTTCACATAGACTCCTTCCCCAAGTTCATGCGAAGAGCAAAATCTATGTTTGTGACCAGATGAGCAAACAGAATCAATGAATAACGAAGCACAAACAAAACGATAGCTGACTGTTGGTGCATTCATACAACCAGGTGTTTGACAGCGAGCTTGGAATACCTGGAGTAACAACACAAGGGAGCAGACAAATTTGCTTTCCTTGACCATCTCAAATTCGTGTGGGAATTTGTTTATTTCCTCACCCCTACTCAGTTTACGATGAGGCCCATATGTTATGCTGCTGGTACTGGCAACCTCTGGGACTTGTGGTGGGTTTGTTGTTGTTGTTGTTGTTGTTGTTGTTGTTGTTGTTGTTGTTGTTGTTGTTGTTGTTGTTGTTGTTGTTGTTGTTGTTGTTGTTGTTGTTGTCATTGGCAGATCTTTCTGTTCATCATCAACATCAGACTCAATGGAACTGTTTGCAAAATAAGTAACAGATATATCAATTTACCCAGTATTTCAAACAATACTCTATGCATATAGTAAAAAGGTTGCATTATAGGCACATTAAGGTGCATCATTGCAGCTTAATGGATTGGAATGAATTATACGTCATACACTATACATGTGTTGGCAAACATATTGTCCGGTGTTAAGAAGATTTCAATGGCCATATTTATAGATTTTAATGGTAATTAATAGATTTTATAAAACCTATGGTTTGGTCATTTGACATGAATGGCATACTGTATATGTAAAACACATTTGTAGAGTAAATACGTAGAGTAAAAAAGGCAAACAAATAAGTCACCACCACCGGCCTATGGTAGCATACAATACCCATA